CCTGATCCAGCATTGGCTTCTCTTATGTTCTTATGTCTGGGGCAAGGAATGCTCTGTATTCTTGGTGCTTGGGGGGGCAGTGGGAGGGCTTCTGGTGTTCTGGCCACACTGCCAGACCTCCTTAGGGCACCTGGTATTTTTGGCTGATGTGTGACACAGAGTGTTGGACTGGATGGGCCACTGGCCTGATCCAATATGGCTTCTCTTATGTTCTTATGTCTGGCACAGTGATGCTCTGCATTCTTGGTGCTTGGGGGGCAAGAGTGGGTGGGTTCCTGGAGTTTTGGCCCTGCTGGTGGACCTCCTGAGGGCACCTGGGTCTTGTCCAGTGTTTCCTCTAAGTACAAGGTCGTTAACAGTTTTTTAGCCTCCGGCTCATACATTTTTGTCTTAATTCAGGAAAGATGCCTCCAGAGCAAACTAATTTATGCAGTAGCCAAATTGCTCACTCATAGCTTTAATGCCAGTCGCTCACAAAGGAGCATCCCGGGATGTGATATCAGAGTCATGTGACAGGAAGAGGGGGAGCTGGACCATAACCAACAGACCAAAAGAGCCAAGGACAAGAAACAAAAAACAGTCATCAAGAGGTTCCGGTGATGGCAGGGGGTGTGGCATATGCTAATGAGTTATGCTAATGAGCTCCAGCAGCTCTTTTTCCACAAAAAGACCCCTGTGAGCCACTATCGCTTGGATAATAGCACAAGCTGTTAATGTGGGTTCAAGTTCCCACTTTGACATAGATGCGCTGGATCAGTAAATCCATAACACTGCTGTGCAGAAATGCAGAGTGCCAGACCTCACGGCTGTGCATCAGTTCTAGTGGCTCCAACCACTTCCCCCCAAGTATAATGGGGGTCATTAAAAAAAAAACCACAACCATAGGAACAGTTAGCATTGATGGGCAAGTGAGTACAGCCATACATCTTGCAGCATCAGGCTCATCATGGGACCTTTCATTATTATTATTTATTCTCCTTTTTCTCCAAGGAGCTTAGAGCAACACACATAGCTGTCCCCTTCTGTTATCTTCAACAACCAATTAGGTGGGTTAGACTAAGAGAGTGTGATTAGCCCAAGGATATCACGTGGCGTTATATCCAGACAGGGCCAGATTCTGACACGGGCTGCTTCCGCACCAAAGATTTCCCATGTTTCAATCAACTGGCTGGTGTTGTTTTACTTCATGTGATCATATAACCTCACCTTCAATTTGTGTACAGACCGTTCTTCCAACAACAAAAAAAATCTGCTTTACTTGAAACCTATAAAAAACTGTTATTTCCTGGACTCATTAAGCTATTGGCAGGAGCAGTTTCTTGTATCTGAAGGGCAAATGCTAGTCAGTTGTCAAGTCGCTTCAGAATTAACGTCCTCCAAAATGCCCTATCCTTAACAGCCAAGCTCAGGTCTTCCAAACTGAGGGCCTCAGCTTCTTTCATTGAGTCAGTCCAATTCAGTCAATTCCTCTTTTCATTTGTTGATGACTGCAAGGGGCCACAATTAGCATAACAGAAGAGAACCACCTGCCTGTTATCTGAAGACCTGAGCAGTGACTCAGGAAAGCTCCTGCCCTGCCACAAATTTTGTTAGTCTTTAAGGTGGTACTGGACTCTTGCTCTTTTCTACTACCTTCCTTTTAGAAAGAGTGGATACTTTGAAGCTCTGCAAATATACCAGGAGCTTTTTAAAAACAAAGTCTGTTCAAAGTACTGCATTATTCCTATCCTTTTTTGAAAAACACCCACAGCTCAGCCTGCCTTTTAGGGAGGGGGGAGGGGATCTTCTTAGGGGTCTGCAAATACATTTTCAAGAAGTTTTTTTTTAAAAGGTATTGCATTATTTCTGTGCAGGCCTGCATTACCAATGGTCCTCCAAAAAACAAAAACCAGGTTGGGTGGGGGATCATCAGAGTCAGGTGAGAACCTAGTGAGAGGGCCTTCAATGAACATTCGGTGTGAAAGTGAAACCACTGGTACAAATGAAGAAGGAAAAAAAGATTCCGTCTGGAATCTGCATTGCAAAAGCGATTTCACACAGAAACACATCAGCACCCAGATTACCATGGTGTGGAAGCAACCATGAAGAGGTCCTTCGCTGTGTCACTTTAAAAGGACCCCACAATCACAATAAGGTGAAGGTTTCCCTTGCTCGAAAGCCAGTCGAATCCGACTCTAGGGTTGCAGTGCTCATCTCCGTTTCCAAGCCAGCACTGTCCGAAGACGTTTCCGTGGTCATGTGGCCGGCATGACTAAACACCAATGCGCATGGAACACTGCTACCTTTCCCAACAAAGTGGTAACTATTTATCTACTTGCAATTCCTTGCTTTTGAACTGTCTGTTCAACTGTGAATCCAACTGTGAAGAGATGGATTTTTACCCTGCCCTTCACTCAAAGTCTCAGAGCAGCTTACAATCTCCTTCCCTTCCTCTCCCCACAACAGATATCCTGTGAGGTAGGTGGGGCTGAGAGAGCTCTGAGAGTACAGCTCTGAGAGAACTGTGACTGACCCAAGGTCACCCAGCTGGCAGCATGTGAAGAAGTGGGAAATTAAACACAGTTCTCCAGATTAGAGTCCGCTGCTCTTAACCACTACACCAAACTGTCTCTCTACCTGCTTATTTATTTAGAAAATCCCTCCTACTTGCTTATTTATATCTGCTCAAAGGGGTTTACAGAGTAAAAACTACACAACAGAATGACAAATCCAGTAACAGTTATCAATAATAAAGTAAGTCATAAAACAAGCCTAGGGCATAACAATGACATAACACCATTTAGCAGCCTCAAATATCCATAAGATAGTCCTCAAGTAGTAGCAGCCCAGCAAAAAGGGGGAGGAGGGGGTGGGGAATCCACTCGAATTAAAAGACTGGGAGATTTTAATTTATTTAAAAAATGCACATTTCCAGCACAACTTTAAAAAGTGGCATACTGTTTTAACTGTGAGATATTAACATTCAAATACAGTAGACACTTACCTTCTACCCATTTTGGTTCAGACAGTAACTCTAATGGAATAAAAGGAGAGAAATGGGTGAAAAATCTATTCATCATTGATACAGTATATGGTGTGTGTGTGTGTATTTGTATTTATTTTTTACAATAGATTTACAGCAATTTTTTTAAAAAAAGAGAGCAAGACAAAACCAAAACTACCATAATACGCATAAAACAGGGTAATTAAATAAAATGAAATAATATAAGGGAAGTTTTGTAAATGAGTTACAATACCCCAGTCCTTCGTAGAGGCCAAATTTGATGCTGGAAGGATTCTTTAGGACAGCGATCACCCATGTGGTGCCCGTGTGCCCCAGAGCACCTGCAGGCACTTCTCCTGGAGCTCATCACTATGCCTTCCAAGAAATTAGGCAGGGCCATTGTAAAGGGCAGGACTAGTGGCTGGACGCCTCCTTACAAATAAAGGAGCTTTTCACTTGGACCTTCCCTACCATTCACTGCAGTACAGGAGGATCTTGTAAACAAGGCAGGGGGTGGGAGGACACATCCCAGTGGGAGGGAGCATGTGGCAATGGCACAATCAGCCACCTGAGCACAGCATGAGAAAGCCAAATGCTTCTCCTCAAAGCTGGGGCAGATAGCGAAGCTTTAACTACCTTTGGTAAATAACCAAAGCTTCATTCATTTCTGAAGGTGGTGTAAAACTAACCTGAAAGCTTTAAAATAAAAACACCATATAGAAGTTTACAGTATATATTTGTAAAAACGAAAACCTGCATCTATCTCTCAGTTGTATGCATTCAGGTTATAGTCACCAGCAAGACTGAACTATTAGGCAGAAAACCATGATTTATATTGAGCCTTCCTGACTACTGATCACCCTGCTTGGAAATGAGCAACTTCTCACCAAAACCAAACGATTATAAGGAGCAGCATTAAGAAAAAGAAGGGAACAACAAAAAAAAGGAGGAACAAGAGATCCGTTCCACAGGATCCAAGAAAGTAAAGGAAAATTTAAATCACGGTTAGGCATGCTGAAAGATCAACATGGAAATACATTAACTGAACAGGACAAAATAAAGAAAAGATGGGAACAATAAACTGAAGAATTGTACAAAAGTGATGAGAGGATGACAGATTCCTTCCAAGAAGCATCTTTTGATGAAGAACCTACCCTTCCGGAGAGGAATCTCTATCAGAGAAAGGGGCAGCCACCCCTAAAAGTCCTTATAAACTGTGGAAGAGACTGGGCAAGGGGAAATGAAGGCTGAAGGACTCTGAATTGTGCCTTTGAAAAACGTTTTTTTAATACTAGATGCTTAGGGGTCTTTCGGGTTAACAGCAATAGTTAAGATATGAAAAAGATAATACTATAGTTGAATCAGTTCACAATGGGATTAGCGTGATTGAGAGATACACGTCGCCAGGAGTAGATGGGATATCAATAAAGCTATTCCAAGCCACAGAAACATCACAATCGTAATAAAACTGTGCCAACAAATATGGAAAACAAAACAATGGCCCACAGACTGGAAATGCTCAGTTTTCATCCGAATTCCAAAACAAAACTGCAGCAACTATCGGACCATCCCATCAACTCCTCATACAAGTAAAGTGATGCTCAAAATCTTACAACAGAGGCTGTTATCATACATGGAACAAAAAATGCCAGATGTTCAAGCTAGATTCAGAAAAGGAAGAGGCACTAGAGACAATATTGTAAATTTATGTTGGTTACTGGAGCATACAAGAGAATTCCAGAAGAAAATCAGCTTGTATTTCATAGATTACAGAAAAGCTTTTGATTGTGTGGATCAGGAAAAGCTTTAAACAAAATTGGGTTTGAACGAAATTGGGTTTAAACGAAATTGGGGTGCCACAGCATCTACTTGTTTTGATGTGCAATCTATACTCCATACCAAGAGGCCACTGTTGGGACAGAATATGGAGAAACAGAATGGTTTCCAACTGACAAAAGTGTCAGACAAGGATGCATTTTATCTCACTCTTTCTTTAATCTGTATGCAGATTATATACGATAAGGAAAAATGGATAAGATGTAGATGAAGGTGGAGAGAAAACTGGAGAAAAGATCATTAACGACCTGAGAAATGCAGCTGATACATTACTGGGAGAAAACAGTGAAGACTTGAAGCGACTACTGCTGAAGGTTAAAGCAAGAAGTGCCAAACCAGGATTACAGTTGACCAACAAGATGACAGAAGAAATGACTACGGGGGAATTACACAACTTTAAGGTTGACAATGAGCAAATTGAAATTGTTTATGGCAGGGGTGTCAAACATATGGCCCTCGGGCCAGAACTGGCCTGCCGAGGTCTTTAATCTAGCCCATTGGTAGAGCACCGCTCATGCCCCACCCCATCCCTCCCTGCCCTTAAAGAATTACTGCCGATTAAATCATGCTGCCTGTTGAGGTCAACAGTGTGATCAGGAGCTCCATGTCACTGACTTTTTCCGGTGGCTGTGATCAGCTGTTTCCTCTCCCCTCTGTTGTTGCTGGATGCAAACTACCTCGTGTGTTTTGTTTACAAAGGCTCCAAGAGCCTCAGTGTGATCTGCAGCTCCCCCCTGACCCTTTCCGGTGGCTCTGCTTCATTTCTGGGCTACCCTTTGAAACTGGAAGCTTCCTGCTGTGCTTTGTTTACAAAAGCTGGAAGAGGCACAATTGCTGCTGCTGCAGCCTCCCACATGGGGTGAGTATAGGTTTTTTGCCATTATATTGTAGTAAAGCTGGAGTGTTATGGATGCTTTGCCTGGTAGCATTTTAGGAATTTAGAGTCAATATGAACTGCTAGCAACCCCACCCCCCCTTTGAACACTGTAATGCTGTTGTTATATTGTGGTAAAGTAGGGTTGTCAGCTCTAGACTGGGAAATTCCTGGAGATTTGGGGGTGGAGCCTGGGGGCAGGCAGGGTTTGGGGAAGAGAGGGACCCCAGCAGGGTACAATGCCACTGAGTCCACCTTCCAACATAGACATTTTCTCCAGGGGAATTGATCTTTATAGCCTGGAGATCAATTGGAATTCCAGGAGCTCTCCAGCCAGCACCTGCGGTTTGGCAACTCTATAGTAAAGTTGCAGTAAATAATTGATCTGCAGCGTGATGCTCTGCTGAAAGATAAGTTTTCTGAAGTTGGCCTTAGCAAATTTTACCGGTTTCTAGGTCCTAATTACCCCCAAGTTAAGTCTTTTGCATCTCAAATTCTGTATATATTTGGGACATCATATGTCTGTGGGAGACTTTTTTCTGTAATGAACATCAATAAATCAAAAGTACGTTCACAGCTTACAGAAACACACCTGAACAGAAGACTGCTACAGCACAGACACTGTCTCCAGATTTTGATGCAATAATTCAGAGCAAGGGGTATCAGTCATCAAAGACTGTTAAACAAACAAAAGATTGCAGGATGTTTACTAAGTATTGTTAATGTTTTAATTATTGTTCACTGTTAACTACTGTTAATGTTTCAAGCGTGTTTGTGTTTTAAGTTAAAAAAATAATGTCTTTGTGTTTGTCTGTCTCCTTTATAAAGTGTATATTCCCGGTACATTACATTTTATGACACACATGACCTGGCCCCCACGAAGTCCCATTTATGTCAGATCCGGCCCTCGTAACAATTAAGTTTGACACCCCTGGTTTAAGATTTTCTATTCCTTGGATCCATCAGCAACCAAAAGTCAGACTGCACCCAACAAATCAGAGGGAGACTGAAACTGGGAAGGGCAGCCATGAAGGATCCTTAAGTGTAAGGATGTGTTGCTGGTGACCAAGATGAAATTAATTCATGCCACAGTATTCCCCATCACTACGCAGGAGTGTGCAAGTTAGACAATGAAGAAAGCTGACAGGGATTCCTTTGAAATGTGGTTTTGGAGAACAGTTTTACGGATACCACCAAAAAAAAAAAAGTGGGTTCTAGACCAAATTAATCCTGAACTCTCCCTATAAGCTAAAATGGCCAAACTGTGGCTATCGTACTTTGGTCACATGATGAGAAGACAGGAGTCACTGGAAAAGACAATAATGCTAGGCAAAGTTGAAGGCGGCAGGAAAAGAGGAAGACCCAACATGAGCTGGATTGACTTGATCAAGGAAGCCACAGCCCTGAGTTTGTAAGACCTGAAGATGGCTGCTAACGATAGGACATTTTGGAGAATGCTAATTCATAGGGTTGCCATAAGTCGTAAGCAACTTGAGGGGCACAGAACACATACACCAAACACATTTTGGACTTTGATTACATTTTATCCTAATTTTCCTCTGAGGTGTGTATGCGATCCTCCCCTCCGCCATCTGATCCCATGTTCAGGCTACAGAGGCTGTGCCAAGATGGCCCCATTCGGCAGTAGGGGCCTTTGGCGTGACAGCTCAACAGGCAGCATCACAAGCATGCTCATTTGTGAGGGTTGTCACATATGCTTATAAGGCTCCCCTTTCACACACACAAACAGACCCTAGCAAACCCATACATTTTGGATATCACGGGAGAAGAGGCATTCACCACCAGGCTGCAGGCAGAGGCAGAGGATGCCTCCATCCAGTGCAACAGGTCAGCTCCCACGGCCACACAGACAGCCTCAATGGAGGATGTCGTAGCATTGGTGCCAGTCCTGGAAAAATCTGAAAGGTCTGTGAAATTAAAACCCACTCTGTTCCTCACGCTCTTCTGCTTCCTTGGTGGCACATTCTGCCCATGTCCTCTTAAAATCCCTTAGAAACCCGGCCTTTCCCATTTTATAAACTGCCACTTGTTACCACTTAGAAAAACCGACACCTCTCCAAGGTTCAGGAGAATCAACAGGGATGCACTCTTGTCACTCTCCCACTGAAGATAATCAGTTACGACAACTAAGGACACTTCTGTCTCAAACCCAAACCTTTATTTAGATTGAAATCGGTCTCCATAATCTGCCTCCTCCAAGACTGCCTGAAGCTGTGTAGTCAACCGCTCACTCACTCGAGCACCTTGCCCAAGAATTAAAGGTTGACCCCTGGGCAGCAGTTACGTAGCTCATTCAGATCCAGAGGAATCTCATGACAATCTCTTTCAAATGGGTCAGAACTACACTCTCCTGAGCCCTGACCCAGACAGCCCTGGTGGCTAGCTTGAAGCAGGGCTGGCCCTGGTAACCAACTCTGCTATAGCAATGACTGATTTTTACAGAAGCCCTCTAGTGGCATGGCAGGAAAAAAAATATGGGGAAAATGGGTCCAGTGTGGGTTGGGGCATTTGCACACCATTCCTTCAAGGTAGAGTACTAATCCACATGGACGACATCCTTTCCAAAAGGATCACAATTAACTCAGGTTTGGGGGAAAGCACATTGAAGACAGGGAAAACTTGGAAACAGGACAATTATGGCATAATGTTGTATGGAAACCAAGGCAGAGAAAAAAACCAAGTCCTAGTCCAATACTCTAACCACTGGTTGCCTGCATAATTATCTGTTTAAAAAAGATGCAGCACAAATCTACCCAAATACATTTTTAAGGGACAAACAGATCTCCTCTACACTATCTTAACTCTTTCATACTAGATGTTATGCCACCATCTTCTAATGGGAGAGAAAGGTTAAATGTGACTGGGCATGCATTCCCAGATTATTTTGGTACAGCCTTTAAAAAAAAAAGAACCAGATGCAACCTTTGCATCTCAGCAGCTGAGTTCAGAAATTTATTTGTTACCTCTGAATTTCTTCACTTCCTCCTGCAGTGATGCACTTTCCTTGGAGAATATGCAGACTTTTTTCTTCAGGCTGGAACAATCAAGTGCAACAGGAGGCCGGAATTCATTCACCGTACATCTAGAGTTTTAAAAACAACAGAAAACATTTGGTTCACACAACATCTGAGTCCTTTAAAAAAAATTCAGCACCTCAAAGACCAACTGGGTCCCCCCCCCCATGACTAAAAGCTTATATCCTGGGGGGGAAACTGCTAGTCTGTGCTACTGGACATTTTTTCCCCTACTAGTACAGGCTAGCGCCTGAAGTTACTTTCACTCACACAATGCAACTCAGAATGAACTACACTACTCAGAGGAGGAAAATAATGCATTTGCACACTGTGGGAGTAGAACTGGGACTTTCAGCAATGGAACATTGTGCGGGGGGAGTGGACACATGGTATGGGAAAGCCCAGAGTCCTCTAGTTGGAAGGGGGGGGATCCTGGCTCCAGGGACCAATCATAAGTACTCCCTGAGTGATGAACGGAAACAGATGGCACCCACTGCCAATCGATTGTGTAGGAAATATCTGCAGACTACAACCCAAACACTCAAATATGGGGGGGGGGACTTGATTTGCATATGATGCTAATGTTGCATGAATATCAGCAGTGAGGACTTGGGTTCTTTGCTCCAAGTAGTTCTCCTTTTTGGTAAGAATAAATGCAGAGTACAAGTCTGAATATTAAAAAGTACACCAATAATGATGGAATCTTGATTACAAGATTGTCCCTGGAAATTTATGGGGCTAACCCATTACAATTAAACTTCTGCAACAGGTCACAAGCTCATTTGATACTGATAACTTAGTAACTGGTTGAATACATAAAAGCTTCTAGGGTCCTATGCTTGATATAATAAAACATTGCATTCTAACAGTCGTATAGCTCTTATCCTTTGGAAACAATATGGCAACTGGCGGCAACTCAAAAAAGTCATGGCCTGAATGCAAATGCATTACTTAAGAATTGCCCTCTCCAGCTCCAGTCCTTACACCTTCCAAGTCCCAAAATGGCAAAATGGTGTCAGGAAGAATGAGCATCATACCTGTTCATGGTACTTCCAATATCCTGGCAAGGAAGAGAAGAAAGACAGAATAAGCTTAGGTGCTTCACTTTAACACATGAAGCTGTCTTATCAGACCCTTAATCCATCAAAGTCACTATCGTCTACTAAGACTAGCATCAACTCTTCAGGATCTCAGGTAAGGTCATTACATCACTTACTGTCTGGTCCTTTTAACTAGAGATGCCAGGGATTGAATTTGGGACAAAAAGAACATAGGAAGAGCTCCGCTGGATCAGACCAGTGGTCCATCTAGCTCAGTATTCTGTCTCACACAGTGGCCAACCAGTTACTCTGGAGGGCCAACAACAGGGAATAGAGACAGAGACCCTCCCCTTACATTGCCTCCTGGCTCTGAGATTCTGAGGTTTAATGCCTCTGAATGTGGAGGTTCCCCTCAGTCACCCTGGCTAGTAGCCACTGATAAACTTATTTAATCCCCCTTTAAAGCTGTTTATTCTTGTGGCCATCATTACATTCTCTGGCAGCAAAGTCCACATTTTAATTACTCTCTGTGTAAGGAAGTATTTTCGTGTGTCTGTTCTGAATCTACTGCTCATCAGCTTAATTGGATGCCCTCAAGTTCTAGTACTTTGGGTGAAGGAGAAACATTTCTCTTTGTCAACTCTCTCTCTACCCCATTCATAATTTTATAAACCTCTATCACCACCACCCCTGTCATCTCTTTTCTCAACTGAAAAGTCCCAGAGTGACTCTTCAGTCTTTATGAGGAAAGTGCTTCAACCCCCAAAGCATCTTGGTTGTCCTGCTCTGTACTTCTTTGGGACCTCCTGCATGTAAAGCGGATGTTCTACCACTGAGTCACAGCCCCTCATGTTTAGACTATGGCACCCCTCAAACTCACTTCCCCATTCTGAAAAAGCTCATCTTCCCATATTTTTGTTTGTTGCTATACCACACTTTTTCTCCCCAACAGGACCCCTAAGCATCCTACAACACTGTTCTCCCCTTCTCCATGTTATTTCCCACAATAATGCACTACTTGAGAGAAGTGGTACAGAGTGTATATAACAAAGTGGGAAATGAGTACACGTTTATTACACAAAAACTACATCATACTCTTACCTGGAGGAGCCCACTTGGGTGCTCCTGGCCCTTTTGCTCAAGCTCCTGGATTAGGGCCCCAAGATGGGAAATCGCCTCAGAAAATTTTGCTGTATCTTCAGCCTTTTTCCCCTCCACTTCTTTCTCCACTTCGTCCAGTTGGGACAACATATGCTGCTTGTGTTTCTCAAGAAACTGGTAAAGCTGCTGGAATTCTGATAAGAGTTTCTGTCTCTCGGCAGCTGTGTCTTTCTGTTATGGACAGAGGAGAGCAGTGTAAACAATCATTGGAAACAAGGGGACTCAGGTGTTCCTAGAGGAACTGCTGAGCTTCTGCTCATGTTTCACTCAACCTATTGTCAGGAACTCACTGTTTCCTCTGAACTGAAACTGTGCAGACAGCCTTTGCTCTAGCATTACAGGCACCTACTGGACAGTGCCTACGATACTGGTGCCAGGTGTTATCATTATCCCCTGGTGCCATTCCAAAAGCCACCGAGGAAGAAGAAGTGATTGGATTTATACCCCGCCCTTCACTACCTGAAGGAGTCTCAGAGCATCTTACAATCCCTTTCCCTTCCCCACAACAGACACCCTTTGAGGTAGGTGGGGCTGAGATAGCTCTCTCCAGCACTGCCCTTGTGAGAACAACTCTGAAAGAACTTATGACTGACCCAAGGTCACTGACCAGCAGCTACATGTGGAGGACTAGGGAATCAAACCCAGTTCTCCCAGATTGGAGTCCGTGCTCTTAACCACTACACCAAACTGGCTCTTTGGAATGGAGGTGGGGGAGGGAGAAGAAAGCTAAGTTTTCTTTATTCTAATTTTTCTAATTATTTATCACAGTCTCCTTTGCATCCATCGGCTCCAGCATTTGTTCAAAAATCTGTGATACTGGGGGGTGGGGGGGTGGACTCAGCTACTCCCCAGCACTAGGCCAGTTCTGTCTCCTTCCATGCCATGGGTAGGAGCATCTAGCAGTCAGTTATCAGCAATAAACAGCCTAGTGCTGCCGTGTTACTACCATGGGAAGCCTCTATTCAGAACCTAAATTCATGGGACTCAATGTTGTCATGTCTATTTATCTAGACAGGGTGCTGACCTTGCAAGAGGTTGTGACATCTGGATTCAAATCCCAACCAAAAGGTAGTCTCTCGGACATACCACTACCTTAAGGGCGTGGGTAATAAAGGCTGATAGGAGACAGCCAGTTTACAGCGAGCAGTATCATCTATATACTAACAGTGAAGTCAGACAAATCTGGGTATAACTGAAATCTGGTGACTAGACCTATGAATGGGGAAGGCAGATCTTTCTACAAACCTGAAAAGGGTTCCAGGTTTGCAGGAAAATCAGAGATTTTTTAAAAAAACAAAACAAAAGACTGGGAGGTTTTTTAAAAAACAACCCATATGATAAAAGGAGCACCTGTAGCTTTAAGAAACAGAAGCCCTTAGTGACTGTTGCTTGGCAACCATAACTTTCCAGGCTGGGTTTCTGTGAATGAAAAGGCAGGGGGAGGGCAGGGTCCTTTCCAGGGCTGTGTTGGCCTTTGAGGGAGGACTCATGGGAGCCAGGCCTAACCAGGTTTGCCAGCTCCAGGTTGAGAAATTCCTGGAGATTTGGGGGTGGAGTCCAGGGAGGAGAGCTGGAGAGGGAGCTCAGCAAGACACATCTCCAAGATACCACCCTCCAAAGCAGTCATTTTCTCCAGGGGGACAGATTTCTGTTGTCTGGAGATCAGCTGTAATTCCAGGAGAGCTCCAAGCTTCACCTGGAGGTTGCTACCCTAGGCCTGGTAGCAATCACTGAGTAACTTGATACTACCTGATTTGCATAACTAGGCCTAGCTGCTTGCTACTGTCCAACAGCAGCCACCCTATGAAAGTCAATGCGGTATAGCAATTAGAGCTTCAGAATACAGTCTCGGAGACCCAGGTTCGAATTCCCATTTACTGTGGAAACTCACTGGGTGATTTTGGTTTCAGAATACAGTCTCAGAGACCCAGGTTCGAACTCCCGTTTATTGTGGAAACTCACTGGGTGATTTTGGGCCACTCACATACTGTCAGCCTAACCTACCCCACAGGGTTGTTGTGAGGATAAAGAGGAGGAGAGGAGAATAATGTAAAATGCTTTGGTCCCCAAAGTGGAGAAGGATGGAGTATAAATAGAGTAAATAAATAATAAATATAGCTGAAAATGGGAAGCAGATAAAAGGTAGGTTGGTGAACTGTTGAGAAGGAGACAATGAGGCAGAGAAAGGAGAGGATATGATGGTTGCCAGGAGAAGGAAAGGGGGGGGAAATGTGGGAAGGGGAATAAGGGGAAAGTGAGATGTCCCCCCACAAGTCCTTGAAGATTCCCTACCATGCAAGTGGGCCTGGCCCAGTAGCTCACACCACGCAACTAGGCCACAGTTTCCCTAGGTAAAGGCTGCTGGGAGTGAGAGGGAAAGCTGAAGATGGGGGCAGATAAAGATAGGTTGTTGCTGGGCAGGAAAAACAGAAAGAAGCATGAAAAGGGGCTTTCAGAGAAGGAAAAGTGGAAATAGTGGGGGAGAGGGAAATTATATTCCTCCTGCAAGTCCTTGTAAGTTCTCACTTGTCAATAGATACAATTCTCAACATGGCTCCATCTGTGGATACTTAAATCTGAAGAGTGGAGCAAGGGACAGACAAGACAGGTCTTTTTACATACCTGAGGAATGCCCCAAGTTTGCAGAAAAATCTAAAATTAAAAAAAACAAAACAAAACATGGGGAGAGTAAAACTTTCCAAAATGACAGAAACAGCTTTACCAAATAAATGCACTCAGTGGCCACTGCTAGGCAACACAAGTATTGCCAGCCTTCAAGCCTTGGTTTCTGCCAGTAAAACGCAGGAGGAGGGGCAGGGCACTTTCCTGGACTGTTTTGGCCTTTCACAAAGAACTCATTGGAGCCAGGCCTGGCAGCAACCATCTGGCAACTTGGTAGAACATGAGTTGCATGACTTACCCAAGACTGGCTGCTTGCTATTGTTCAACAGCAGCCACTTCATGAAAGCCAGCTAGTGCAGTGGTTAGAGTTTCAGACTAGGATCTGGGAGACCCAGGTTCAAATCCCCACTCCATCACTCCATCACTGAAGCTTCCTGAGTGACCCTGAGCCAGTCATACACTCTCATCCTAACCTACTTCACAGGGCAGCTGAAGATGGGGGGCACAGATCAGTTAGGAAGAAGGGAAAACTGATGATATGGGGCTGCCAGGAGGGAAGGAGGAAATAGTATGGAGAGAGGGTACAAGGGGAAGAGAGGTGTTGTCCACAAATCTTTTCAGGTGCCACACCATACTAAAAGGCCCAGCTTGGCTGGCACCATGCAACTTGAACAGAGCTGTGCTGGACAGAGGCTGCCTGAGGGATGGAAGAAAGGAGAGATGAAGATGGGAGGACAGATCAAGGCGGGTTAGCTTGTGGGTGAGAAAGAAACAAGGGAACAGGATAAGGGAAGGGAGAAATAGTGGGTTAGAGGAAAATGAGATGCCCCCCACAAGTATTTACGTGTCCTCCACTTGTTAACTCCCAGGCTACACTCCTTACAAATTATTGTGGCACCTACCAGCAAATCCTGGATTGGCTTCTCTACATCTAATTTAAGTAACAAAACTTTTTGTTTTTCTTCTTTCAGCTTTTGCAAACAGTGATGCAGTTTATCCTAAAAAGATAAAAATGCACTTAAAAATTAAGACCAACAATTTTGTTTTCTGACATATTTGGTCAGCTACTGTAAACAAAGAATTCATATTTACAGCCCCATTTACCACAGTATACAGTGGAGAAGAAGCACCTGTGCAACTGATCCCTTAGCATAAGAGGTTAGGGAATGTGTATGAATTGGGGCCGGGGTGAAGAGTTACTCCATGTTATCTCCTTTAAAAAGTGGAGGGTTTGGGGCAATGGCATAGCAAAGGAGGAACGTTCTCCCTGAGAGGCAGGCAGAGTACCCAATATAGATCAAGCTGAGGGTAAACACCCCCTCTCCACAACACTGTTTCCCCAATCAAAAATGCCCTGTATCCTAGCTGCTCTAAGAAACTGGTTGGGGCAAAAAAGAGACAGAAATATATATTTTTTTACTTGACAGAAACCAAAGTTTGAAGGATGACAGTACTGCTGTAGTTGCCTAGCAACATTTGTTTCTTAAAGCTAAAGGCACTTTTCCGGTCATTTGGGAAGGTTTTAATCCCCTCCCCCACACTGTGCATGTGACAAGGGGCTGCTTATTCCTTAGGAATTACAGGAACAAAACTGCAGTATCATGTATCATCTAAACCTACCTAAAAGTGGGCAAAATTGAGACACTTTATATATGACAAATATAACACAGGACAAAAGCATGGGAAGGGCCAGTACAGGTCTAGTCACACTCCACCCCCTTTCACTTAGCATTAGCAGGAACCAGTGAATTCAGACTTCCAGTTGTTCCAAGATATCCTTCTCACAAGAGAATTTCCACAGAATAGGACCACATTTATATAAAGCTGGTTTCCCTCTCACTGACCCCTGTCCCAAGTTCATTATTTTTCCTTTTTGACTGGTCTTTCTTCTGGAATCCAAAAATTGAGGCATTTTCCCATAAACCATTTCATTACCTTGTAAACCTGAGCAGCCTCCTCTATGGGAACCACATTGTGTTTCTTATGTGCCATGGATCTGTCACACACCACACAAATGGGAATCTGGTCATATTCACAGAAGAGTTTTAGGGGCTCCAGATGTTTCTCACACAACTTCTGGTCCCCAGTTTCATTTGCCCGTCTTTTGCTGAACTGTTTGGCAAGTTCCACAATGTTCCACAGATGCCTGTTGGAATGAAGGTTTTTCATGGGAAAGGGCTTTCTGCACTGTGGGCAGGGAAGGACTTTGAAAGTAGACCCTTCGCAACACTGTGCAATGCAGTTTCGACAGAAATTATGCCCACAATCTATGACCATCACTGGATCCTGAAAATAATCCAGGCAGATGGAACAAGTGGCTTCATCCTGGAGAGTTTTTTCTGGATTTGGAGCAGCCATTCAGTGTCTTTTTTCTGATAAAGCAAAAGAACAATGTTTCAGTTTTTCATACTCACAGCAGTAGACATTTCCCTTCCATAAACATAAAAAGTGGCTACCTGAGCAAAGTCCAGATTAAAGGACTTTAAGGGGGGGGAAGCAGGAAGCACATATTCATTGTTGGAGATGCAGGAAGTGCAACTGGTTTTCCTTGAACTTTTGTGGACCTCACTGTGTTCAACAAAAGGTCAGCCATATTACTGAAAGATGTCATGCCTAACCCTGAAAAGAGTATATATTCATGTGAACTTTGAAAATCATTCCGTCATCCTTATTATTTTAGGGAGGGGCTGTGGCTCAGTGGCAGAGCATCTGCTTGGCATGCAGAAGGCTCAATCTCCAGCTGAAAAATCAAGCAGGAGGTGATGCGAAAGACCTCTGACTGAGGCCTTGGAGAGCCACTGCCAGTGTAGACAGTACTGACTTTGATGGACCAAGAGTCTAATTCAGTATAAGTCAGCTTCATGTGTGATGGACCAACTCTAGGCACCAGCAGTAAATCCCACTGAGTTTTCATGCCTTGTTCCTAATCCATAGGGTTCGGACGGGCCATAACAAGTGGTTTCATTCAGCTGGGTAGTCCTAAACTGTACCCTACTAGTAGTGAGAGCACACACGTCCTCACCACCTTATTTAAAAAACAAAAAAACGCTTTATTCCTTACAAAACTTCACAGAATGCGATGTGAGGGTAGTTTTGTCTGCCATACAGTGAGGGGGAAAAACCCAATATTTAAAAAGCCAAAACGTCTACCTCGGCCCGTACCAACCAACTAGTACAGAATAACTTTCTTTGCATCTTTCACCAAATTTGAGGGGGAGGGGAAAGGGAGGAAACCACTCGCTTCCTAAGGTCCCCCCATCCTCCCACGCACCGTCATCCATCCCATGCTTCCCCCCCCCCCTTAACCGCTTCTTGCTGCCCTGTCTCCATCCCTTCGCAACCAACTCCCAATCTCCACCACACCGCAAATGCTTCCCACTTCTTACATGACGTTCCTCAGCCCGCGGACGGATCTGTTTCTTTTCTGCTGTCGACGCAGCGCAACACAGAGAGACTCCCAAACGCGTAACGTGAGCTACTGTGGCGATCCGAGGACAGAGTTGGCTCCTCCCTCTCCGGCCGCCCAACCACCTCACTGGCTGCTTTCCTGAACGGAAACTCCTCTCTAATTGGGTCCTCAGGTACAAACCTGATAGCGATAGTTGCGGGCGGAGGGGTACAAATTGCCTTGGAAGGATAATTTCAGATGAATAGCTGTTTCAGTTTGTCCTATGGTATTTCCTAAATTCATACATTGACTGCCAGTTATTTTTCTGCGTGCTCTTTGAGGCTGGCTGGTTTACAGAGACCGTTTGCTGGGTTCTCTTTGTGTCTAAGGGAGGGGCTGTGTGGCTGACTGGTAGAGCCTCTGCTTGGCATGGAGAAAGTCCCCAGTTCAATCGCTGGCACCTCCAGTTAAAAGATCTGGCAGCAGGTCACTGCCTCAGATTCTAGAGAGTCACCGCCAGTCTGAGTAGACAATACTAACTTTGATGGACCAGGGGCCTGAGTCAGTTTAAGGCAGTTTCATGTATTCATGTCAAAGGTGGGGATGGGGCAGATGTTCCAAAGGTAAGTTTAAAACATGGTCTAACTAAAAAGTAATAACTAACCAGAAGTTAAAGAAGCAGGTCTTTTTGGCTTCTGCCTCCCCTTGTATTTGTATCCTGTCCTTTCTAAAGATGGAATTGCTCCAGAGGCACCTATTGTTTCAGAGCCTGATGAAGATCTTTTAGTTCATTCCTACAGGGTTTTTTTAATCTCCCCTTCCTCCTCTGCCAGGCAGCACAGCTCCTTCATGTGTCTCCTTTTGTTGTTGTTTCCCTTTCCCCCTCTCTTCTTCCAAAACCCATTTTCACACCCTGCTCACCCTCCCTTGCCATTCGCCTGCTGCCCCTGGAGGAGATGGATCATAAAGCCTTATAAAAAGCAATACATCTGTATTGTAAGTCTAGGGTTCAAAGTCTTTGGGAACGATCATCTCAATAATGAAGTAATAATTAAATGTGTTGAGAGTCAGGGGGGAAAACAACCCTTTCTTACAATTCAAAATTCTTTCCTGGAGCATTAGTCAAACTGCAGTGATCTTCTCCCCCCTTCTGATTATAACACTCTCATGGTGCAAGCTAGATGCACTCCAAATGACCAGCCTCCACATCAAAGCAATCAGTGGCCCACCATGCCTTTGCCTGAGCATCCCCCCCAAACCCAAGCCTTTACAAAGCAGTTCTGGATGGCCTCAGAAACATCATCAGTGAAGCCTTTCCTACCAAAGTTATTGTAAACAGAGGCAAACAGAGATTCTGTTACAATATTTTGACCACCTTCTCTAATGTTTTTGCCAATATTCTTCCCTTGATCCAGATCAGTATGCCTCAATTTTAGTGGATCACCTTTTAAATGGACCAAAATATCCTATCAGTAACCAGATTAAAAATACTGTGGTTGGGTGGGCAAAATCTACTCCTCGAGAAATTCTTACAGCTGCTCATCAGTTTTGGCAAAGTTCCCAAACTACAAAGAAGAAAAAACATGTGTTACAAACTAAACTTGTAGCCTTACAGATTGATGAGCTCAAGAACAAGGCTCGACCCCAACGCAGACCAGCAAGAATGCCACACTCAACACAGACTTCAGTAAGTGCACCACCAGGGCCCCAACAAGTGCGGGAGGGATTGCGTCATTATTGTAACAAACCAGGGCATTGGAAGAATGAAAGTCACACTCGTCAGAAGGCAGCCACCCAACAAGCTGCTTGTTCTGGGAATCCTTGAGCTCTTCTCCCAATATTTTTCAGTGTTTTCAGGGAACCCCATTGGGCCCATAGGCCATTTCCCTCTCAGCCAACTGCTTCAATATAGGGCAATTCTGTATTGACTTTTCCCTCCGTTGTTTTACAAAACCTATGCTGGAACAGAAATTCCCCTCTGCATTGCATGCTGCTTTCACTTTCTTTGATCATCCGGTTTTACGGTACCTTCTGCATAGATTTATGGCCAGTCAGGGGTGACTTTGCAGTCAGTAAGCATTGCCCCGAGGTATTTGAATGTGGTTTTGAGCTGCACTTTTCCCTCCCAGTTGAGAAAATGTAGAGCAAATGGTAGATGCAGAATCACCCATAGACAAGAGTGAGGTTTTGTTGGTCAATGGAGAAGCTGCCCAGGGACTGTGGAGTCAGCCTGTCCTGGAGGCAGTTGCACTGCCACTGAAGGAGCAGGTTGCTAGTTTGCAGGTGTTACTGGATCCTGGCCTATGGTTTGCAGCTCTGGTGTCCTCTGTAGCACATGGGATCTTTTATCAGCTCCAGCTGGTTCACCAGCCACAACTAGTCCTCAAAAATTGTCATCTGGCCACAATGATCTCTGATCACATCCAAGTTAGATTATTGTAATGCATGCTATGTAGGGCTGCCTTTGGAAATATTCTGGAAACTCTAGTTAGTCTAAAATGCAGCAAGTCAGATTATTATCAGGGGTTGGTTACCATGATTGTGCCACCCTGTGCTGAAAGATCTGCACAGGTTATCCATTAGTTTCTGGACACAATTCAAACTGCTGCCTCTTACATTTAAGACCTCCCTCATCTACAGCTCTCTGGGATTTTCCACCTCCTGAGAGCATTCTCTGCTGCAGATTCCTATATTTTCAGCTTGTTTTAAAAAATTCTTTAGAGCTCTTCCTTTGCTTCCTCTGACTGACTGAGCTAGTTTTACTTATACATTAAAGGGGAATTGAAAAATCTAACTTTTGATTGGCTCCTATGAAAGTTTGCTAAAGGGGCCAATAGGACTGCTACGCTCTCTCTGCTGTCTGATTGGTTCCTCTCTACCCAGGTTAAGGGACCAGTATACTAGCTCTATTTTCCCTCTTTTTTCTCTAATTGGATAGCTCTACAAACCCTAAATTTGCATGATTGTTCAACTTTCTATACATAGACAGACCTTAAATTCATTCTAATGCATATACTTTTCTATTTACAGTTATATATATTTACAATTTTACAATTACTATTTACAATTATACACATGCACACAAATATAATGTGCGTTTTTTAAAATTTCCTCACAAACATATGTAGGTGATTGCAGCCACAAAAGAACCATTGAACCCCCACCACACACACACACACACACACACACACACACACACACGCATCTGAACCACATCTACATAACAGAGGAAATCATCTATAATAATAAAAAGGATACATCAATCTGTGGAAAGCATAACTCAACCGAAAATGAAACTAGGATACTCAAAATGGACCACCGGCTTCTGGACGATCATAGGAGTTGCAGTGCCAAACATTAAACAAATAGGAACATCCTGGCCCACATAATTTCCAGAGATGATTCTACGCCCCTGCATGCTTTAGAACAGGGGGTCCTCAAACTATGGCCCGCGGGCCACATGCGGCCCGCCGAAAACATTTATCTGGCCCGCCGGCAGGGCCGGCTCGCCTAGGGCGCGCTGGCCCTCATGGGCGCCAAACTGCGCCCCCCACCACCCTAACCGGGTGG